GGACTGATCCACATCTCACTGGGGGAGAAGCATGGGGCTGGCTTAGTGATGTGTTGTGCAGCCCACAGGCGCTGTCACTGAGCCACCAGTGTTCATCACAGCCAGTTACCACGCCGCAGCCGTACTGAGATGAAGAAGGAAGTCTTCAACCTCTTTCCTCTGCCCCACAAGTACTCTGTCACTGCCTCTGTCTCTAAGTTCACATGCTCCAACCCCTTTATCTGGGTTCCCTTCCTGCATGTCTCTGACTTGTCATTGTCTCAGTGGATGTGTTTCTCCTTTTCCCAAGCTATTCCTCCAGCTGAGTCCTGGCCCCCATCCCTGCTATGGCCGCCAAGACTGCTCCATGGCTAGAGGCAGAGGAAAAAAGCTCAGCCTTTGGCATGGCTTTTGGTCCTTACTATTCATTTGGATTCCTGAAGCTTCCCTTGTCTCACAGTAAATTGGATGCCGTGATATATGCCTCAGAAATAATAGTGGTGATCGTTAATCACCAGTAAAGGGAATAATAGTGGTGATGGCATATGTAAAATGCCTGACCAGTAACAGAAAGCCTAGAAACACGAGGTTGCTTTTTTTCCTTCCCTTTCCTTCCATCTTTTCTGTCTCATGCGCTCCTTCATCTCAGCCAACCCTTTCAGTGGTTTTACAATTTAATTCTCTCCTTTCTTCACCTGGCAAACTTGGCGAAGGACTGTTCTCCCCTCCTCAGCTTCTCTGGCTCATTACATTCTCAACGATGTCACTGAGTGGCTGCGTACAGCACACTCATCTGAGTGTTTCAAAGGTACTGAGTTTGGGTGTCACTTGCAGAGCTTCTAATTCAAGAGGTTTAGGGTCCTCATTTCTGTGTTTCTACAAAGATGCACAGGCAGGGTAGAAAAAGGCTTCCTAATCCTCTTTGCACCCAGTTTCCACCACTGCTACTCAGCACCTGCCCTCCGGGCCGCGGCATCGCAGGCCTCTCTGCAGGGTTCTGCACCCCTCTTTCTCCCCTCAGGAAGCTCCCATTCCCCCCGTATTCAGCCCACATCCGCCCCTAGTTCTCCTCTGTGACGTTCCTATACTGGCTTCTGCCTTGACCCTTCTTTCTTCTTCTGTCTTAATGGGACGGTTTGGTCACTGGTCTTTCAACTTTCTGCTTCGAGAGCTACATTTCCCCCCCTAAAAAACAGAAAACAAAAGAAAATGCTAAAAATACCAAAAGAGTAAAAAAACAACCCCCAACAAACCTACAATCCCAGGACTTAGAAAAAAATCTGTGTCTGTGAAGTAAAACAATAATCCTCCCAAATCACACGCATCTTCCTTCTTTTATGGAATTCTGTCTCTGGAGGTGACCGCCCGTTAACATTCTAATGCATATCTATTCTTTTTCCTACAGGGACGTAGTCATATCCCTGTATTGTGCGTGCATAATTTTTAACTAACAATAAAGCAGTTTCTGTGACTTGTCTTTTTAAAGGTTGATTTGGTTATATATTATAGGATACTAGGTATAGACTATAACCCATTCTTTTTAATGGCGGCCTGGTTTCTAATTTATTCTGCCATCCTTCTGTTGGCAGATCTTTGGTCATTTCAGTTTCCTATTGTACAAAGTGCCTCCATGGTCATCTTTGCTTGTGTCTTAGAGTAGGTACCTTAGAAATGGCATTGTTGGGTCAAAGAGAATGAGAACTAAAATTTTGATAGATCACTGCCAAATTACTCTTCAAAACTGTTGCTCTTCAACAATAAAGACCTAGAAGAGAGTGTACTGAGTCATAGTGTGGGAACATTTAAAGTCTTTACATATACCTCCAAATTCTCCCAAAAATAATGATCAACATACACTCCTTCCAATGATGTTTTCTCCAATGTTATGATTTCCCCAATGATTTCTAGTATTACATATTATACATTATATTTTAATATATATTTGTATCTATTCTGGACACCATTCTGTTTTGTTTGGCATGCCTGCTTGTATGCCAATAATGCACAATTTTGATGATTATTGTAAAAAGAGTATATTATCCATTACTATAAGCAATTTATCAAGGTCTTTCTTTTTACAATTTTCTTGATAATTATGATATATTCATTTTTCCATAAAGCTTTAGAATCAATTTTTCCAATTTAAAAACAAGATATCTTTGGTATTATGTTATATTTATATATTAATTTGAAAAAATTGATGCCATTGAGGCATTAATTTTTCGCTCCCAGGAAATATATCTCTGTGGGTATTTAAGTCTTTTAAGACTGTCTTGCAAATTTTAATTTAATCTTATAATGTCATTATAATCTTATTGCACAATTCTTTCATTGCTTAATCATACCGCAGTATGAATGTTTAGGTTCCAAAATCTTTACATTTATTAATGTTACAATGAACACATTTGTGGAGCAATTTGCTTTCTGAGGTCTGTCCAGAAAGTACCCAGCCATGCACTATGAAAAATGGAGACATTTACTGAAGAAGATACAAGAACATAGGACAATGACACCTCGGGCTCCTCCAAAGTAGACATCTTGGGACCTCACACAGTTGTCCTAATTGCTCTCAGCTGCCCTGTCGTATTTTCCTGAATCTTATCCAAGGTCTGAAATCTCTTCCCTTTCAGAGGTGACTTTAATTTGGAGAAAAGCCAGAAGTCGCAGGTTGCCAAATCTGGGCTATAGTGGGGCTGAGTCACCTGGGTGATTTGATGTTTTGCCAAAAAAACTCTGCATAAGACATGATGCATAAGCAGGTGTGTTGTCATGGTGAAGCTGTCAGTCACCAGTTACCCATACCTCTGGTCTTCTGAATCATCTGAACTTTCTTTGGAGGGATGTTCAAGGTGGAAGCAAAAGTTGATGAAGATTTATTGCTCTACTCACTCAGTCATTTTGAATGCAACAGCCACACAGTACACATACTCACTCATTGGTATCTCCTGCCCCCACTGACTAGTACAGTGAGGTTATCATTGTTCATGCATGTTCATTCCAGTCTACTCTCCTTGGCTGCCAGGTTACATCCATGTGTCACAAACCATTCTTGTTATATTAACAATGGCTGGATTTTTTTATGGAAAGACCTTGCGTTTTCTTATTGCTACAGCTTTGTGATATAATTGGAAATCAAAAAGTGAGAGGTCTCCAGCTTTGTTATTCTTGCTCAGAATTGCCTATTCAGAGTCTTTTGTTTTTCTATGTAATTTATAGAACTTGTTTCAATTTCTGTAAAAAATGCTTTTGGGATTTTGATGAAATTGCATTAAATCCATAGATTGTTTTGGGAAATATGAACATTTTAATGATAGCGAGTATTCCCATCCACAAACATAGGATATCTATCTATTTGTGTCTGCTTTAATTTCTTTCAGCAATGTTTTATCATTTACCATGAACCAGTCTTTCACCACCTTATTTAGTAGTTCTTTATTTCTAGATATTTTATTTTTTGATGCTATTGTAAATAGAATTGTTTTCCTAATTTCCTTTTCAGATAGTTTATTGCTAGTATATGGAAATGCAACTAATATTTGTATATTGATTTTGTATCTTGAAACTTTACTGAATTTGTTTACTATTTTTAACATTTTTTGGAGTCTTTAGAGTTTTCTTCATGTAAAATCATGTCATTTTCAAATAGATAATTTTATTTCTTTCTGATTTAGATGCCTTTTATTCCTTTTTCTAGCCTAATTGCTTTAAGACTTCCAGTACTATGTTGAATAGAAGTGGTAGGAGTGGACAATCTTGCTTAGCTCTTGATCTTGAAGAAAAGTTTTCAGTTTTCCACTATCGTATCTGATGATACCTGTGAGCTTTTCATGTATAAGCATTATCATGCTGAGCTATTTTCTTCTGTTCCTAGTTTATTGACAGTTTTTTTTAATCATGAAAGAGTGTTGGATGTTGTCAAAACCTTTTTCTGTATCTGTTGAGATAATCACAAGATTTTAATCTTCATTCTGTTAACCGATTTGCATATGTTGAACCATCCTTGCATTCCACAGAGAAATCCCACTTGGTTGTGCTGTATGATCCTTTTAGTGTGCTGTTGAATTTGGTTTGGTACTATTTTGTTGAGGGTTTTTGTACAATTGTTCATCAGGGATATTACAATTTAGTTTCTTTTTTGGTGATATCTTTGCCCAGTTTTGGTATCAGGACAATGCTGGCCTTCTAATATGAGTTTATAAGGGTTTTCTCCAAAATTTGTTAAAGAGTTTGAGAAGAATTAGTGTTCATTCTTCAAATATTTGGTACAATTCACTAGTGAAGCCATTTGATTCTAGACTTTTCTTTGTTGGTAGTTTTTAAATTTCTGATATAATTTCCTTACTTATTGTTGGTTTGCTCAATTTTTTTATTTTTTCAAGATTTGCTCTGTATAGATTGTGTTTCTAGGATTCTAGACATTCCTTATAGGTTATTCAGTTTGTTGGCATATAATTGTTCATAAGTCTCTTATGATCATTTTTACTTTTGTGGTATTAGATGTACTGATTTCTCTTTCATTTCTGATATGATTTATTTGAGTGTTTGCTCTTTTTTCTCAGGGTAACTAAAGGTATGTCAATTTTGTTTATCATTAAAAAACACGATCTTTAACCTTGTAATTTTTTCCTATTTGTTTTCTATTGTCTAATTCATTTATTTCAGCTCTAATCTCTATTATTTTCTTTCTTCTGCTAAGTTTGGACTTAGTTTTTTTTATTTAGTTCTTTGTGTGTGGCTTAAGGTTTTTAAAATATCTTTATGGATGTAGGTATTCATCACTATAAGCTTTCCTCCTGGTACTGCTTTTAATGCATTCTCCTATTTGTGTTTTGAGGTTTTTTTTAATGGCCTCACATTTATTAACGAACCAACCTACTACTGAAGGAAAAATGTCAAGAAAAAATAATTCAGTTCCCAATAAAATGCCAAACTGTCCCCACAGTGGTGGTCTTTTCAGTGACTTCAAGAGGCAGACAATGTGAATAGAGCACAAATATGAGACATTTCTGATGTTCCCTTCTTTATAGAACCAGTTTGGTTCTTCTCCAATGTCTTCTCTTGGAGTTGTGCCTGATTTTATTACCAGTTGTCATCTGAATCCATTGAGGAATGGGCTGATTCTGCCTTTGTTTCTTGGCTAGGAACCTCTTGATCCTGAAAGTCTTGTGAGAAGACATGGCAAAGAAGAATGAACCTCACCGACCACAATGGCGGAGAAAGAGAGAGCTGTGTTTTGAGTTTTCATTTTCACTTTTTAAAGTATTTGTCTTAAGTAATTTTTTGATTTCTCTTTTGATATCTGTTTTGACCCAGTGGTTGTTCAGGAATGTATTTTTTAAATTTCCACATATTTGTGAATTTGCCAGTTATCCTTCTGCTATTGATTTCAAGTTTCATTTCATTGCATTTTGGAAAGATATTGGTATGAGTTCAATTTTCTTAAAATGATAAGACTAGTTTTGTAACTAACATGCACTCTTTACTGAGAAGTGTTACATGTGTGCTGAGGAGAATGTGTGTTACCACTATAGGTCAAATGTTCTGTACATTTCTGCTAGGTCTAGTTTGTCTATAGGGTTTTCTCATCCTTCACTTCCTTACCCATAAGGACACTTTGTCTGTATTTTCTACTCATTATTGAAAGTGGGTTATTGATGTTTGTTATTATTACTATTTTATTATCTATTTCTCCTTTCAGATATGTCAATGTTTATTTTGTATATTTAGGTACTCTTTTGTTGGGTGCATATGTATTTATAATTGTTATATCTTCTTGATAAATTGACCTCTTTATTATTGTATAATGTCCTTTTTTGTCTCTACTAAAAGTTTTTGACTTAAAGTCAGTATTGCTGATGTAAGTATAGCTATGTCTGTTTTTTTCCTTATAATTTCCTTGGAATAGCTTTTCATCCTTTCATTTTCAGCCTATATTTGCTCTGAAATCTGAAGTGAATCTGTTGCAGATTGCATGTAGTTGGGTCTTGTTTTTTAAATTCATTCAGCCACTCTATGTCCTTTGACTGAGGACTTTAATTCATTTGCATGTAAAGTAATTGTTGGTTGAAAAGGATTTACTAAAAAAAAGTAAAAGATTTACTATTGATATTTTAACTATTTTCTGTCTGTCTTATAGTTCTTGTGTTCCTTTTTGCCTTTCTTGCTGTATTTCATATTTTATTGATTTTTTTTGTAGTAATAAGCTTTTCTTTTTTCCTTTGTCTTCCTATAGAAGACATTTTCTTTGTGGTTACCATGAAGCTTCCCTAAAACATCTTATACTTGTGAGTCTGTTTTAAGCTGATGACAACATTAGTTCCATTGCATATAAAAACTCTATACTTTGACTCTCACCTCCAGCACTTTAAGCTCCTGATGTTACAGTTTATGCTTTATGCTACTGATGTGGCAACTTACATCTTTTTATATTGTGTATCTATTATCAAATATTTGTAGCTATCATTATTCTTAATACTTTTGTATCTAAAGTTTGTATTGAAAGCAAAACTGATTTACATCATTACAGTATTATAATATCCTACATTTGTCTATTTCTTTTCACCAGTGAGTTTTATTATTTTACATTTTTTCTTATTGCTGTTTAATGTTCTTTTATTTCAGCTTGGCAAACTCATTTTGCCATCATACAAGCTGCCAATGTTTAATTTCGTGAGGGTGAACATAAAGTCAACCATTTAAAAGAAGCATTTAGTACATTCCCAATGTTTTGTACTATCACCTCTATCTGATTCCAAACCTTTTTCATCACCCCCAAAGAAGATCCCATATATACTCATTGAGCAATCACTCCCCACCCCTCTCTTCCCAGCCTCTGGAAAGACTGAGCTGCTTCATGTTTTATGGGTTGACTTTTCCTGGTTACTCCATATTAATGAAATCATACAATATGTATATAATTTCCTGGTTTCTTGCACATAACATACTGTTTATTAAAGTTTATCTGTATTGTGGCATGTATCATTACTCATTTCTCTTCACGGATGAATATTATTCTATTGCACACATATGCCACATTTTGTTTATCTATTCATCCATTTGGGTTATTTTCAACTTTTGGCTGTTTTGAATAAATTGCTTAACTTTTGGCCCTCACTTTTTCATCTAAAAAGTGATGATGATAATTCACAGCTTCCAGGGTCATTGTGAAGGCTGGAGCTAATTCAGATCATGTGTCTGGTTCAATAAAAATAAGCTATTATGAATATTTCATTTTTGGTGTGGGGCCAGAAGTAAAGAGATATTAAAATTGGCCCACAGTTGGTTTGCAGACAGAATGAATGTTAGTATTTTTTAAACCATTAAAGACTTATTCATTTCTCTCATCTTACCCAAGATTTCTATCCATATTTGGGTTACAAATTTCATATTTTAGGTATCCTTACTTTTGGGATCATGCATATTTTTTATTATCTTCACCTGTCTGCTTTCTTTGCTTTCTCTTAGTTCTGTTCATTGATTTATTTTTCATTCATTCACCAATGAACAAATACCAGACTCAGTTTTAGGTGCTGGATTATAGCAGGAAAAAAAAAACAGATTCATTCTGAAATCTCTTCCATGTATTCTGGTATTATTCATTATATTATATATATGGTTGGGAAGAGAAGAGAGCTAAAACAAAGGAACAAATGAACAATAAATCAAGTGGCATAACATGCTAAGTAGCAAAACAAAACAGAGAAAGGGGATACAGAGGGTTCCAATTAAATCTGAGGGTCCATGTGGCCCTCTTTGGTAATTAACTAGCAGAATCCAGAATGGGAACCATGAAGTGCATTCTGGGACAAGGCTCCTCCTCTGAGGAAAGAGGGAAGCTGTTGGAGGATTGAGCAGGGTGCCATGAACTGACCTTTATTTGATATGGATCGCCCTGCCTGCTGTCATGGAAATATACTACCAAAAATTGTCATCTCCAGCCCCCTCCTTACTTCCTTTCTCTGAGATTTTTACCTTATAAGCCCTTCCGGAAAGTTCACTTTCCTGATAAAATCTTTCACATTCAGTTTTGTAAGCTGAGGCCATCTCTCTCTCCTCCCTCCATCTCTCAATTCCTTGGGGAAGAAGGAAAATATTACACAAAAGAAGTGTTCACCACTGAATCGTCACCTTCTCAATAGCCTCAGGTGACAAGGACCTGTGGCTGGAGGCCATGACTTCTTCCTGGTTCAAACTGAAGACTTCCTTGAGCTTTGTGTTCACTGGTGCCTAAGGTGTGGGAATTAGGAAAAACCTTAGCATATTTCTAGAACAAGGCTGCCTTTCTGTCTATATCAGTGTTCATTTTCCTGAATAAATTTAGAAGCAATAAAGCTTATTTTCTATTTTTGGTATTAGAAGTAAGAGTCAACAGATATCTATTTCTTCTGGGGATTTGGCTTTGGGAATTCTGTACCCTGGTTCTCCCTCCCCAAGGTCCCCCTAGTTTCTCACAAGGATAATCCACCCACACTCAGGACAGTATGACATGGTGGGAAAGCACTGGACTGGGAGCCAGAGGTCTGAGTGTTGGTCTGGACTCTCACTAAGTAGACACGAGTTAGTGAATGGAGAGGTGGTAGAGCAGAGGGGTAGTAAAGAACGTGAGCTTGGGAGTCAGACTAATCAGTTTGAGTGTCTGCTCCACAATTTACTTGGGCAAATTGCTGAACTTCTGTTTTCTCTTGTCTTCATTTATAAACTGGGAATGGTAGCTGTACCTGCCTCACAGGTCTGCTTTCATATTAAATAAGATAATTGGACTGTGCCTCCTCTCACAGCCAAAATTAAGGACAACAAAAATTTAGAAACAAAAAAACAACCAATAGACAGAAAATTGAGCAGTATGGAAGTCCGACAACCATTCCTCCAGACCAGTAAGAGGGGCAGAGTTGGCAGCTGGGGGAGAGGGGTCTTGGCAGGGAAGAGTGATGGTTGGCAGACCCAGGGTGCACAGGTGGTGGCTAGCAGATCCCTGACACAGTGAAGCAACAAGCAGACCCAGTGAGGTGCACAAGGCAGAACCTACACAAGCCCACCTACCAGGAACCAGCACCAGCTCAGTTTGCTTGTGGGAAGAGGCACAGGGGACTGAAATGTGAGAGAGAGCAGAGCAACCGCCATTGTACCCTCTCGGACCCCACCCCCACATTAGTGTCACAACCCAGCAACTGGGTTGCCCTGCCCTGGTGAACACCTAAGGCTCCACCCCTCATACGTAACAGGCATGACCAGACCTTCCCCCCCACTAAAATGACTCAAATGCAAGAACAAATTGAAGCCGAAGAGCCAATACTTTTAAGCAATCAAGAGATAGCCGACCTATCAGATGCACAGTTCAAAGCACTGGTGATCGGGATGCTCACAAAACTGGTTGATTTTGGTTGCAAATTAGATGAAAAAATGAAGGCTACACTAAGTGAAATGAAGGAAAATGTACAGGGAACCAACAGTGATGGAAAGGAAACTGGGAATCAAATCAGTGGAGTGGACCAGAACAAAGAAAGAAATGACCATACAGAAAATAATAAAGAAACAAGAATTCAAAAAAATGAGGAGAGGCTTAGGAAGCTCTAGGACATCTTTAAATGTTCCAACATCCGAATTGTAGGGGTACCAGAAGGAGAAGAGGAAGAGCAACAAGTGGGAAAGTTATTTGAAAAAATAATAAAGGAGAATTTCCCCAATCTGGCAAAGGAAATAGACTTCCAGGAAGTCCAGGAAGCTCAGAGAATCCCAAAGAAGGTGGACCCACGGAGGAACACACCAAGGCACATCATAATTATATTAGCCAAGATTAAAATGAAGGAGAGAATTCTAGAAGCAGCAAGAAATAAGGGGGCAGTCACCTATAAAGCAGTTCCCATCAGACTGTCAGCTGATTTCTCAAAAGAGACCTTACAGGCAAGAAGGGGCTGCAAAGAAATATTCCAAGTCATGAAAGGCAAGGACCTACATTCAAGATTGATCTATCCAGCAAAACTTTCATTTAGAATGGAAGGGCAGATGAAGTGCTTCTCAGATAAGGTCAAGTTAAAGGAGTTCATCATCACCAAGCCCTTATTATATGAAATGTTAAAGGGACTTATCTTAGAAAAAGAAGATAAAAAACATGACAATATGAACAGTAAAAAGACAGCAAACTCACAGTTATTAACAACCACACCTAAAACAAAAACAAAAACAAACTAAGCAAACAACTAGAACAGGAACAGAAC